AAAACAATATTCAGTCATTATATATAAACTACGAATTCTTATCCTAACTATTCTTATATGGGACAATATAAACAAAAAATATTTTAGCTAAGGCACAAGAAAGTTCTAGCTGTAGAGGGTTCGACTAGAAACTGCTGCGAAAAAAGATGTCTTTGAAAATAGATTATTCTATTCAATTCTAGACATTTTATGTTACTGCGATAGAACTCTTTAACATCTGTATGCACAGCATGTGAATAATATATTATAGAAAACAACTAGTTAACTTGTCACTGATATTATTTATTACATTACTAATTTTATTATTATTAGTTATAGATATTTTATGTTACCAGTAGAGAACTCTAGAACTAATATACATATTCTATAGAAATACTTTTTTTAAAAGTTATTTAATTTTAGTTTCCAGCATTGCTTATAAAATATAAATCTTATATGCACCTCCTTTCAAATAAAATCAGGAACAAAATGAGGTTTAATGTAAGTGCAAAGTTTTAAAAAAATCAGCAAAAAGGATTTGCAGTAGCTATTTTAGCACGTCTCAACTGTTTGCTTATTAAGTGATTATGAAGCGCTTAAACCTGAGCACGTTCATTATTATCCTTGCATGCAAAAATTCCGAAATTTTCAGTTGAAATACATTTAAAATATGAAATTTATTTCGCAGGAGCATGTTTCATACACAAATATCCCTTTTCGATAACATATTTATTTAAGCTAAAAAATTGAAGGTATGTATGAATATTTATAGACGTCGTGACTTTATTTATGAGATCTGTAAGAGTTGCTAGAACAAGAGAAAGAGATAACTTACCTACTCTTTAATGTCTATACTTTACCAAAAAATGTTTAATAACAATCATATTTTCATAATGAGGATCTTTTAATGAGAATTCGCTAAATTCTAAGCTTCATATGCTGTTATTAAATATGTATATATATACCTCCAGCTCAAAAAGTACCCGGATTTTGTAAATAAAACACACAAATATAAATTTTATTCTAAATTTATTTTATCTCCTTCAAAATATGCTCCATCTGAAACGATATACATATGCCAACGCTTAACCCAATCTTCCACACATTTTGCGTAGGCCCGTACAGGTATGGCAAATTCTCTTTTACCGATTCAATCGACTGAAAACGCTTACCACGAAGGGGGCAATTTGAATTTCGGGAACAGGAAAAAGTCGCACGAATCCAGATCTGGCGAATATGGTGCCTGAGCGATGACAGTGGTGCCGTGTTTGTTCAAAAAATCGCGTACAACAAGAATTTTCCATAGTACAAATCGGTAAATACACTTGAGGTTCTCTCACATTAACAGCTGCTATAAACAAACTAATTGACAGATGGCGCTCAAATTTGTACCATATGTCAAGAAAGGTCTATTACTTAAGGAGTAGTTAATAAACAACATCATCCGTACTTTTTGAGCAGAAGGTATATAGGATATTGCATTCAGTAATAACTAATTACATTCTGAAACACTTTCGATGCTGAAATAGTGAAATCAATTTGTTAGGTTGTATTGTGTGGGCGCGTTTTGATAGAATATTTTCCAGTCCAAGCGATTCCCCATTATGATACTCTCAAAGTTACTTGCGAGAGGCGAATTGCATTACTTGTTCTTATTTGCGCATATTGTGTACACTAACCCATATTACATCTTCGATAAAACTGGAGAAATTTGACAAGTCGACTTTTGTTATATGTATCAGATCAGTGATAGAACAAACTTCTCTCCATCTTCCAAGATCCACTTGTCGAAATACGATACCATTGAAAATAAGTAAGTAGTTGCAGGAAGCCACTTTCGTTATAACTGCTAGAAAATAGGCTCCATTGAAGAATGGGGCTCACATCAGTTATAGCACCCATTGCTTGAAAAATAGTACGTTAAGGTAAGATAAGGCATGCCAGTGAGTTTCAGGCGTCTATTAGTTTTATACAAATACTTAAATTGAAATACTTACGGGAAATAATACTAAAATGCTTAGATTTATTTTGTTTTTGTCAGTAAAATTAATTAATGTTGTTTATTTGAATAATTTAATTTATTTATAAATAAAATTGTTTGCTTTTTATGTACAATGCAAATAATGGCTTTAGATTAAAAGAATGTATAGACTCTTAAAGTAATTTTAGTAAAAAATATAGTAAGAAATATTTTTATACATAATAAAATTATTTTACTTAAACATCATTAACGTTCCATTACTTTCAATATTATTAGTTTACCAATAATTATGCAATTTTAAAACATAATAAGACATTGTGTGGAAATTTCAAAGGACTTCCTTAGCTTCACTTGATATTCATAAATTCTGAGAAACTGCTAATATGTTTCCAATGCTTTCGTCCTTAATTTTTATTTATATTTTTATCACAAAATAACGATGTCAGAATGAGGCTTTTTGAAGTTTCTATAAATTCAGAACAAAGTCATAAATAATTCATGAGCAGGCGGAGACTTTGTGGTAAATCAAAAATTATTTAATCTTTAAATTTTCTATACGGAAAACATATTTTCTTTCCTTTCACTTATTTATTGTGTGTCTGTCATTGTCGACCTATAAACAGATACGAGTGATATCTGAAAAAATAAAAATTTTAATAACAATAAACCGACATTTAAATATTTGAACAAGTCGACATTTTGACATTTCATTATCAAATTTGTATGCAGAACTTTCACAAATGTGAATGCAATAAATTGCCAATGAAGCTTTCAAATGTCCTTTTCAACTTTTTTTATTTATTTTTTTTTTGTTTTTATTTTTTATTTTCATTTTGAATGTAGTTGGAAAAGTGAACAATGGAAATAAGAAAATTTTCTATATGAAAAATTAGTTCAAAGTATTTTTAAAATTATTGAAATGGAAACATTGTGCATGACTTAAGTTTACTTATTATTATGTCAACCACAAATAAATTGAACCTGAAACAAAGTCCTTGCTGCACAACAACGTCAACAACGTCAACAACGTAGACTTAACATGAATAGCTTATAAATTATTTAAGCACTTTTTATACTATATACAATATTTTTGAAAAAAATTAATATATAACTATATTGTATATTTTAAAAATATTTTTTATTTTATTTTATTTTTTTTTACATTTTCATTAAATATTTGCAGTAATTAATTTTAAAAGCCAAATACAAATTCTTTTCTTTTCACATATATTTCACAAGCAATTAAATAAAAAGCTTTTGATACTATCGAAATAGTTTTAAAAATATTCAAAACTCACTTAAAAATATTTCATTCATATAAAACAAGAATTTTTATTTATTTTTATATTAATTTTGATCTTAAAGTGTTTTATTCAAGTAGCTTAATAGTACATACACACTGTCTCATTTAGGCACTTGCTCATTTATATTAGGTCCGTTCCACGAGCTACTCGTAGTAAAACGCAAGTAAAACACAAGTAAAATACAAACTGAAAGCGTAACACAAATAAAGTGCCAAATTACACTCTTTACACAGAATTTTATGAAACAGATTTGTGTAAAATCTGGTGAGAACACCAGATAAACAATACAAAAAATTTAAATTCAAACTAAAACAGCTGATTCACACAGCAAAAGAAATTTTACGTGGAATAAAATGTACAAGTAATTCGACAGGGATGTTACATTTTCTCAGATGCTCGCATAATTTGCTGATGGAACGCACTTGTGTATACACAATGTTACTCAAAGTTACTACGAGTAGCTCGTGGAACAGACCTATTATTGAGTGATTATTATTGAGTGTTATTGAATATTAATGAGCTCATTTATGCAGCTGCTAGGACTTCTATAAACTTTAATAAACACTATTTAACCCATTAAGTACCAGGCAATTTCAATTAAGTACCAAAATTTTACGGTGAAATTTCTATAGTAAATAGTAAAATAAAACAAGTTTAAGTAAATGAAAGGAGTTTAATATTTATTTGAAAGATTACTCTAACTATATCTTTAACTAAAAAATATAAAATATTCTTTGAATATTAAAAAAATATTCAAAGCTAGCCATGTGGTGCACTACACTGTGATCCGAAATGGGTTAATAATAATATATCACACAAAAAAACTAAATATATTAAATCATTTATACATTTACATTTTATACATATATCAATTACATATTCAATTAATAAAAACAAAGATTTTATTAAATACTTACTTCCTCAGTACCTTTGTTTATAGCTCAACTGTTGTTTGTTTACATTTTACATATAAAACATATGACACATATTTCAAATGTTGGTAATTTCGTTCGAAATCAGGGTGGCATTCGATACTTTTCACCTTAAACGTGCTAATTTATTGATAATGAGCTCATTTATATGAATGCTATTTGTATGATAAATCATTCTTATTAGGTGTATTCTTTTGAAATGAATGCTTTAACAGGACAACTTCTAACTGCTTAAGATTAACTTGGCATCACTGCCTAAATCAGTAAGCATATGCCAAGCAAACAAATTTTAAACAAATTTGTGGTTGATGACTATAAATTAAATATATATGTAAATACAAAAAAAAACATGAGTATATTTCTAAAAAAAAGTTTTTTATATAAATATATATAAAATTAATGTCACACAAAAGTTATTCGTGAGCATTTTATATTGTATTTGAATTTATATAAAAGTACACAATTTTTTAGGTTTTATCAGTGACAACGGAGAAAAATAGTCAAATAAGGAGGATACAAAGAGAACGGCGTTTTGTCACAAACGAATGCAACTCTGTATTGGCAACAAATAAGTTTCCCAATTTATAGAATAACAACGTAGCATTGAAGTATACCTTTCTACAAATTAGAGTTTGTTTAAGGAATACTGTTTCGCACTTCGAGAATTTGTTTAAAAGTTTTATCGTGAATTAATTTTAAATATCGTGAAATCAAAGTAAATTTAAATATCGTGAAATCAAAGTAAATATAAATATCGTGAAATCAAAGTAAATTTAAATATCGTGAAATCAAAGTAAATTTAAATATCGTAAAATCAGACTATTAACAAAAAATGGTCAATGCCAATCATTTCTACCATGAAAACTTCTCACACCTGGATGATCTAGCCATTGATGATGAGTCGGATGAGTCAAGCTCTAGTGATACCGAAGACGACGGTGAGGAATTTAGTTTTAGGCAAATAGTTCAGCTGCGGAAAATCTTCGACGTTGATAGATATGGATGCTTTGGCAAATGGTGCCTGTTTCTCGCTGCTGCTAAGCATCGTAGGTGGGAGGAACTATTAAAACCTGTTCCTCTCTATCATAATGGTACTTTTGACATTCAGCGGTTGTTATTTGTAATAGATCATACACCCACATTAACAGCAGTGCATCTTGCAATAGTAGATGAAAATTATGTTGAATGCAATCGGTTCGTTATTCAGCTTTTACATTACGTATTTGTAAAAAAAAGTGAACCTATGCTGTTCACGATAAGTGACTTCAAATTTCAAAAGTTGATAAAGTCATCAGGTGTTACGATGAACGGACCGTACCCAACCGATGTTTTTGATTTACAGGTTGATGATGATTTGGAAGAAAGACCAGGCTTACCCAATAACCGGAAATTTGGTTTTTATGGTGCATCGCCTGCCCGCTTTTATTCAATTTTAAGCAATGGTTATGTGAAGTCCTTGAAGAGCGAAACTAACGATGAGTCCATAGAACCTACACGTATACACTTAACGTCAGATTTTTCCGCAAGCTTAAGTCATAGCGATAAAGAACCATATTGGTACGAATTAAGTCCCGGTGCAGTTTTACGTTGTGTCGCCTTGTGTGAATACAAAGATCACCCTGACTGCGTGCAATATAAAAAAGATTCTAATCAAAAGTATATTGATATATTTCTTACGAAAGGCGCGGAGTTTCGCATTTGGCTGATCATGTTTTTCAAAGAAGTTATTCCAGCTCTACCTCCTACCTCTACGTTGCAATGTCATTCAGCAAAATTAAAATCGGGTAAACGCATTAAGTTGGAAAGTCACCAAAAATTTACTTAAGATCTAAATGATGTTATTTCAAACAATTTCATATGAAGTATAAAGAAGAAAGATTTCATATAACAAAAAATTATTTATATATATAATCTTATAAATAAATACAAAAGTTTTGAATATATTAATGAATGGACCGATCTCTTTAAAATTATTCTTTCGTGGATAATGTCTTGAACAGTTGCTTGAAAATACGTTATTAGCTGATATAAATATAACAGACTAATGGTGGTAGTTAGCGTCTAGACCCAGTAATGGTGTTAAATCAAATGCTGGTGTATTTCTATTGTACAATAAAACTTTTTGTTATAAAAATCATTCGCAAGAAAGTAATTCTCTACTATACATTTTATGTCTATTGATTAAGATATATTCGCACACGGAAGTATATAAACATGTTATAGACATTTTATATATTATTTATGCAGATTTAAATATATAAAAAATCATTTTTGCGACATTTGTGATGGTGGGTGTACTTTGCATCTAGACCCAGTAAGCTTCAACTAAAGTTTTGATTATAAAAAAAATCTGATTATAAAAAAATCTGTTTGGTTTGCATTTCTGGAATAAGTGTGACTTTGACGCCAATAATATATATCTGTGCAATGTAGACCTTACCCCTGAGCACATAATATATTTTATTTTAATTTACAATTTTTCTTAAAATCATTTACAATATAGTTATTTATATATTTTGTCTACTATAAACAAATAAACCATAGTTTATGATTTATAATCATAGTTTATAAATCATAGTCTAGATTATTTTTGCAAATTACGCGAAATTCCAAAATTGGGTTTTCAATTTCAATTAAATCTGTAATTTACAAACCAAATTACAAATTACGATTATACTGTAGTTCGTAATTGAGGTTTTCAATTAAGTCACACTTTTAATCTGGAAACCCAATTATCAATTATTATTATTCTGTAATTGTAGATTAATTTGTAATTTATTTGAATTTGCACAGTTCTGTTCCTAAGCAAATACCAAGAAACAATTATATTTTTCACTGTATCAAGTAATTTTCTTTTATACACATCTCTCCCCCTCTCTCTTCCCTTTCTCTCTCTTTCTCAAAAGTAGCGAAAGAAAAATAAAAAGAAAGATATGAACATTAATATATACATAGTCGCGAGCGGGTCTAGCACCCCATTGTATAAGCTATATACATATATATATGTATATGTATTATTAATGTTATATATATTTTATAATATCATAATTAATATATGTGTTATATATATATAAATAACTACTATATCAAAAAGTTTTATCTTAAAATAAATTCCTTTGTAATCATTATTCGTGTTTCTAAATCCTTTGAAAATTATGTACTCTAGCATTGTATTAAAAAGAACAAAAATTCATTTTATCTCGTTTATTTACACCTTGTTCATTCTAAATATTCATCAATTTTCCATTTAATGTCGTCACTTTTTATATGCCTTCTAAAACAATTTTTCATTAGAATCGAAACACAACAAGCCGAAGCGGCTACAATCTTATCAGCAACTTCATTATCATCAGCAACTCAAACACGCTATACATTTTTGTCAACTCATCAGCATCATCATCATCATAATATTTTGCGTCATTCTAAATGAGAATAGTATGACAGTTGGGTCATTATCATCTTCATCAACATCAACATCAGCATCAACATCAACATTAGCATCAGCATCAGTATTGGCATCAACATGAACATCATGTAGCCCAACTGAAGTCATCAAAGTGTGTCACAAATAAGACATACGAGGATGAAACAAAAAGTACCTCATCCGTTTCTTTCATCACGACGAATACGCAGAAGGCATATGGTGCGCTATCTCATTTCAACGTTTCCATTATCAATCCAAAAGTAGTTGGTGTGTCTTTTTGTAGTGGCGGCTGTTAAATATCTGCCAACTTAAGTGATTTTTTCTCTTCGAATGTACGACGATGTACCATAAGAAGTCTTTATGTTTTTGTAGGTATTGGTCTTGCCAATGCTGCTGCTGTTGCTGCTACTGATTGCTGTTGCTGTTGCTGGTGCTGTTATATTGTTGGTGTGTTGTTGGTGCTCAAAACTTTTCCGACTAGCATCCTCCCTTTTAACGTGTAATTTATAATTTAGCGAATTAATCAAGTTTATAGTGAACTTAAATGGAACAAGCATAAAACGTATTTGTTTCTGTTGCTAAGGCAGACATTGCATGGCAAACGCAACAGCGACTTTATAGAAATTTCGAGGCAGAATTAATAGGTCGCTGAAGTCTTAGCGAATTCTAATAAACCGTAGTAGTTGTTGTTGGTACTGTTGGTTTCATATTGTATTAGTATCGTTTCCACTTTGAAATAACTTGAAGGCAATCACATTTATATCATTACTCAAGGTTATAGATGAAATCCTTTAAAGCATAAAAGATGCAACTAAGACGAATGAAATTATTACTAAATAATGCCATTTAGGTTTGCAAGTAAACTGTGACAATTAAAAACGTAATTAAAACGATTTAAACAAAATACAGTTTAATGCTATGATTTTGCATAAATACAATAGTAATTTCATGAGTTATCTTTTGCAATCAGTTAACTTTAACCTTCACTATTATGAAATGTTATTAAAGATATAGTGTTCCACACCCTCACTATCAAGGCAACAAATTGACTTGACTATACATAAACATATAGAGATATTTGCGTAACTACCCCATTCTAGGCCTACGTCATCGAAGTTATGCTGGAGTATACAATTGGATCTAAAGATAGGCTCGTAGTTTACATCATTAGCCTGTGTCTACACTACACGACAGCACTCTGTTTTCATCCACTTACAGAAACTAAAAGTATTAAGAATGCCTAATTATAAAATCACAATTGGAATTAAAGCGGTTATCTAAAGCTGCGAATTCTTAAACACACTGCATCTGCATTAGCTGTCCAATCCTCAGGAGTATTGGTTGTCCCAATAGTACAAATGTTTATATCAACAACATACGATATAATGTAACGTTCAACGACATAATTTTTATTTCTTAATTTTAAATGGCACAAAGCGGCATGCAACAGAATACATTCCTCATAAAGAAATTACTGTGTTCTCACGAGTCAGAACCCGGACATTCGATTTTACTCTACAAACAACTAATCACAAGTAGTACTTTTGCAGCGCTTCCATGTCTTCATTTTACATACTTAAATAAAACGACAGCCTATTTCTAAGAACATCAAATTTATCTACAAGTTTTCCCGCTTCTGCAGCATTCTCATATCACCTTTTGCTTTGGTCAAAGGTAACATCATTTTGGTGTCATCTTTCCGCTCTCTGACTCAGCCCAGTTCCGTTCAATATAATTGTCTATATCTGTCGTATTAAATTTATATATAGTTTTTGTGAGTCTCTTTATATTATAATTCTTTTGCGTTAAACCTATCTTAATTTTGTAAGTCTGAATTTATTTTTTAATAAAGAATAGCTTCTTATTTTAAGAGGCGAAACAGCCTCTTCAGCTCACGCTTCCTGATTTTTTAAACAAATATATGTGATATTTAAAAATTTTTTAAAATTTAATAAATTAAGTAGTTTCCTTTTATTGGATCCAGATAATAAATTTGCACCTATAGAAATCTGCTTGGTTTGCATTTCTGGAATAAGTTTGTGCAATGTAGACCTTACCCCTGAGCACGTAATTTATTTTATTTTAATTTAAAATTTTTCTTAATCATTTACAATATAGTTATTTATATTTTGTCTACTATAAACAAATAAATCATTGTTTATGCAATTTAATATGTTTATGCTATTAAACATTTATTGTCAATATTTATACAAAAAGTCTCAGTTTGTTGAATATAAATTGTTTCTCATATCTATTTGATACAAAAGATAAAAAAGATTAAAAAATTACATATAATTCTCTTATTAACATTAGTGCAAAAAAAATCTTTTAAAAATATTTTTCATTAATTGCTATTTTTCATTAATTGTTGATGAATTTCTTGAGAATCTATGTTAAAATGAATATAATGCTATAATATTCCTTAAGGAGAGTAACGTTGTACACACTAAAAAAAAAGAAATTCCAAATTTATTATATATTAATATTATTTTAAAAATATTTATATTACTCTTCGAATTCTAGTTGACCTATGTTGACCTTTGGTTTCTTATTGTAAAACATCAGAAGCATCATTTACCGGCTCTCCATCAGGTATAGTGTCAAATTTCAAATTTAGGTATTTAAATAAATAAATATTTATTTAGAATCAATTATTTAAATATTGTATTACACTTACATTCTTTCGTATCGTCCTTATTTTGTACATCATCCAGAACATCACCTTCATTGTCTATACTTGGAAGCTCATCTAGCATATCAGCGATTTCTTTATCAATATCTTCGGATACACCCACTTCACTCACATCTTCAAGGGAACCTTCATCGTCCTTTGGCAAAATTTCTTTTTCTACAACAATTTTATATGAAAACCAACGTTAACAAAAAGAAAATATTAAAAATATAATGTTTTTCTTATCTGTTTCGGCCATTATCAGCAGATGCCTCTGCTTGTAACCTGAGAATTAATTTTTGTGAACCACATATTTCTTCTTCATGTTAACTAAATTTACTCTGATCCTTATTTTGTACTTCATCATCGAAAACATCACCTTCATTGTCTTTACCTGGAAACTTATCTAGTATATCTGCGATTTCTTCATCAATATCTTCGGATACACCCTCTTCACTCATATCATCAACGCAACCTTCATCTTCCTTTGACAAAGTTTCTTCTACAATAATTTTATATGAAAACCAACGTTAGTAAAAAGAAAACGTCAAAAATATATGTTTTTTCTTACCGGTTTCGGCCATTATCAGTAGATGCACCTGCTTGCAACCTGAAAATTAATTTTTGTGAACCACATAACTCTTCTTTATGTTAACTAAATTTACTCTGATCCTTATTTTGTACTTTATCATCGAAAATATCACCTTCATTGTCTTTACCTGGAAACTTATCTAGCATATCTGCGATTTCTTCATCAATATCTTCGGATACACCCTCTTCACTCATATCATCAACGCAACCTTCATCTTCCTTTGACAAAGTTTCTTCTAGAACAATTTTATATGAAAATCAACGTTAGTAAAAAGAAAACATCAAAAATATAAATTTTTTCTTACCGGTTTCGGCCATTATCAGTAGATGCACCTGCTTGTAACCTGAAAAATAATTTTTGTGAACCACACATTTCTTCTTTATGTTAATTACATTTACTCTGATTGAATCCTTTCGTCAATGTATTTATTAATATATTACAAATTATTGATTGTGTGAATAAATCTTTCGATATATAAAAAAATTATGCGTCAACTTACTCGTGTGCTTACCAAGCGAAAATAAGGAGACAATGCAATTGATAAGAAGTAATAGCTTTTTTTGTCTATCTTATAACACAGAGTTGCATTTTTAATTAACTATTGAGGTGGGTGCTTTTTATAGAAAATCACGTGCAATACCTAATATAGATAAACATATAACGTCTCGGTACAATATACTAACTTACCTTTACACAAATTGGAATTTACTATATGTGTGGATATCACCTAAATTTGTATTTCAACAATATTGCAATATCAATAATAGATTATGAATGTCATAATTATAATTATGCGGACTCATCAGCAAATTTAGTGCGAATTTTGTTCAACATTTATGACAATTATTGCAACATATTTGCTTAATACTGTAGGCAATAAAATTTATCACTCTTTAAACAAATATATATAATATATTTTAATGTTAACTACATTAACCTAGTGATAAATAATACATAATATATACAAATAATTGTTCTGTCCCCGTACGTGCTTGTAGTAAAATTCAAGTAAAAAGTTGCACGTTTTTGTTGTTTTCTGTTGTAGTACTTAAAATGTAATAATAGGTCTGTTCCATGAGCTACTCGTAGTAGCTTTGAGTAACACTGTGTATACACAAGTGCGTTCCACCAGCAAATTTTCGAGTAAATGCGAGCATCTGAGAAAATGTAACATCCCTGTCGAATTACTTGTTATTCTACGTAAAATTTGTTTTGATATGTTAATCAGCTGTTTTAGTTTGAATTTAAATTTTTTGTATTGTTTATCTGGTGTTCTCAACAGATCTTACACAAAACTGTTTCATAAAATTCTGTGTAAAGAGTGCAATTTGGCACTTTATTTGTGTTACGCTTTCAGTTTGTATTTTACTTGTGTTTTACTTGAGTTTTACTACGAGTAGCTCGTGGAACAGACTTATTATATTTTCTGTTTTATCTCTTAGAAGTTCCCTTATTAATAATTTTTATTTCTTAATTTTAAATGGCACAAAGCGGCATGCAACAGAATACATTCCTCATAAAGAAATTACTGTGTTCTCACGAGTCAGAACCCGGACATTCGATTTTACTCTACAAACAACTAATCACAAGTAGTACTTTTGCAGCGCTTCCATGTCTTCATTTTACATACTTAAATAAAACGACAGCCTATTTCTAAGAACATCAAATTTATCTACAAGTTTTCCCGCTTCTGCAGCATTCTCATATCACCTTTTGCTTTGGTCAAAGGTAACATCATTTTGGTGTCATCTTTCCGCTCTCTGACTCAGCCCAGTTCCGTTCAATATAATTGTCTATATCTGTCGTATTAAATTTATATATAGTTTTTGTGAGTCTCTTTATATTATAATTCTTTTGCGTTAAACCTATCTTAATTTTGTAAGTCTGAATTTATTTTTTAATAAAGAATAGCTTCTTATTTTAAGAGGCGAAACAGCCTCTTCAGCTCACGCTTCCTGATTTTTTAAACAAATATATGTGATATTTAAAAATTTTTTAAAATTTAATAAATTAAGTAGTTTCCTTTTATTGGATCCAGATAATAAATTTGCACCTATAGAAATCTGCTTGGTTTGCATTTCTGGAATAAGTTTGTGCAATGTAGACCTTACCCCTGAGCACGTAATTTATTTTATTTTAATTTAAAATTTTTCTTAATCATTTACAATATAGTTATTTATATTTTGTCTACTATAAACAAATAAATCATTGTTTATGCAATTTAATATGTTTATGCTATTAAACATTTATTGTCAATATTTATACAAAAAGTCTCAGTTTGTTGAATATAAATTGTTTCTCATATCTATTTGATACAAAAGATAAAAAAGATTAAAAAATTACATATAATTCTCTTATTAACATTAGTGCAAAAAAAATCTTTTAAAAATATTTTTCATTAATTGTTGATGAATTTCTTGAGAATCTATGTTAAAATGAATATAATGCTATAATATTCCTTAAGGAGAGTAACGTTGTACACACTAAAAAAAAAGAAATTCCAAATTTATTATATATTAATATTATTTTAAAAATATTTATATTACTCTTCGAATTCTAGTTGACCTATGTTGACCTTTGGTTTCTTATTGTAAAACATCAGAAGCATCATTTACCGGCTCTCCATCAGGTATAGTGTCAAATTTCAAATTTAGGTATTTAAATAAATAAATATTTATTTAGAATCAATTATTTAAATATTGTATTACACTTACATTCTTTCGTATCGTCCTTATTTTGTACATCATCCAGAACATCACCTTCATTGTCTATACTTGGAAGCTCATCTAGCATATCAGCGATTTCTTTATCAATATCTTCGGATACACCCACTTCACTCACATCTTCAAGGGAACCTTCATCGTCCTTTGGCAAAATTTCTTTTTCTACAACAATTTTATATGAAAACCAACGTTAACAAAAAGAAAATATTAAAAATATAATGTTTTTCTTATCTGTTTCGGCCATTATCAGCAGATGCCTCTGCTTGTAACCTGAGAATTAATTTTTGTGAACCACATATTTTTTCTTCATGTTAATTAAATTTACTCTGATCCTTATTTTGTACTTCATCATCGAAAACATCACTTTCATTGTCTTTACCTGGAAACTTATCTAGTATATCTGCGATTTCTTCATCAATATCTTCGGATACACCCTCTTCACTCATATCATCAACGCAACCTTCATCTTCCTTTGACAAAGTTTCTTCTACAATAATTTTATATGAAAACCAACGTTAGTAAAAAGAAAACGTCAAAAATATATGTTTTTTCTTACCGGTTTCGGCCATTATCAGTAGATGCACCTGCTTGCAACCTGAAAATTAATTTTTGTGAACCACATAACTCTTCTTTATGTTAACTAAATTTACTCTGATCCTTATTTTGTACTTTATCATCGAAAATATCACCTTCATTGTCTTTACCTGGAAACTTATCTAGCATATCTGCGATTTCTTCATCAATATCTTCGGATACACCCTCTTCACTCATATCATCAACGCAACCTTCATCTTCCTTTGACAAAGTTTCTTCTAGAACAATTTTATATGAAAATCAACGTTAGTAAAAAGAAAACATCAAAAATATAAATTTTTTCTTACCGGTTTCGGCCATTATCAGTAGATGCACCTGCTTGTAACCTGAAAAATAATTTTTGTGAACCACACATTTCTTCTTTATGTTAATTACATTTACTCTGATTGAATCCTTTCGTCAATGTATTTATTAATATATTACAAATTATTGATTGTGTGAATAAATCTTTCGATATATAAAAAAATTATGCGTCAACTTACTCGTGTGCTTACCAAGCGAAAATAAGGAGACAATGCAATTGATAAGAAGTAATAGCTTTTTTTGTCTATCTTATAACACAGAGTTGCATTTTTAATTAACTATTGAGGTGGGTGCTTTTTATAGAAAATCACGTGCAATACCTAATATAGATAAACATATAACGTCTCGGTACAATATACTAACTTACCTTTACACAAATTGGAATTTACTATATGTGTGGATATCACCTAAATTTGTATTTCAACAATATTGCAATATCAATAATAGATTATGAATGTCATAATTATAATTATGCGGACTCATCAGCAAATTTAGTGCGAATTTTGTTCAACATTTATGACAATTATTGCAACATATTTGCTTAATACTGTAGGCAATAAAATTTATCACTCTTTAAACAAATATATATAATATATTTTAATGTTAACTACATTAACCTAGTGATAAATAATACATAATATATACAAATAATTGTTCTGTCCCCGTACGTGCTTGTAGTAAAATTCAAGTAAAAAGTTGCACGTTTTTGTTGTTTTCTGTTGTAGTACTTAAAATGTAATAATAGGTCTGTTCCATGAGCTACTCGTAGTAGCTTTGAGTAACACTGTGTATACACAAGTGCGTTCCACCAGCAAATTTTCGAGTAAATGCGAGCATCTGAGAAAATGTAACATCCCTGTCGAATTACTTGTTATTCTACGTAAAATTTGTTTTGATATGTTAATCAGCTGTTTTAGTTTGAATTTAAATTTTTTGTATTGTTTATCTGGTGTTCTCAACAGATCTTACACAAAACTGTTTCATAAAATTCTGTGTAAAGAGTGCAATTTGGCACTTTATTTGTGTTACGCTTTCAGTTTGTATTTTACTTGTGTTTTACTTGAGTTTTACTACGAGTAGCTCGTGGAACAGACTTATTATATTTTCTGTTTTATCTCTTAGAAGTTCCCTTATTAATGTTTCTTATATAAATAATATTTGATAAATTATGGGATTCATATTTAGTGTTATTTTATAATAGTTCTTTAAACTGTATTTTTCTGTTATTTTCATAAATAGAGAGCTTGTTTCACATCTTGTTTAAGTTTCGTTTCTTCATAATTAAAAGAAATAATGTCAAAAAACAAAACAAAATCTTTTTGCATTTTGTTTTATTAATAACTTCATCAAGTTCATCATGTAACATATGTCTGTAAGGCATACATTAAGTGAAAGATTTTCAAATTTTTTACTTGAATCTTATTTTTTATTCCATTAAAAAGCTTGAATTTAGTTAATACTCGCATTTAAAGAAATAAAATGTCAGAATCACACTTGTAAGCCACTAGATAAGGGCGGTGCCACAAATGTGCTTTCAAATATGTATCCAGTTAGATAAATAGGTACCAACACCATCAAATGTCAAAGAACTGCACATACTTTTACTGTCATCCAATATGTTTCATTCTTCAACTTTCTAAACCTGTGTAAGCATGTTATACGAATACGATGACATTGTCTCTGCCACGTTATACGAATCCGTGTCAGAAGGGGATATATTTTATTATATGTCATGACATGATGATATATACATTTGAGATATTTTTTAATCTCTATATAATATTATAGTAAACAAATAAGTCATCTCATTTCCAGATTCTCGGTATTCTTATTTTTGAATTGAGAACCAGAATGCAGAATAATAAAAGAAATATGGAGAAATTGAAATGAACAAGTGATCGCCACATTCACCTTCAATTTCTTAGTTTCAATATTAAATCTAAGAAAATTGGATAAAAATTGGGTTGTGGTGGCCTTGATCATTATAGTCCAAATGATGAATAAAGCAAAATAAAATGCAATGAGTTGTAATTTTTTTATCTAACGTTATGCTACTAAAACCAATTTAGGATCGGTTTATCAGATATCAGAGTATCAGATAATCTTTTCTGTTCCTAAGTGGGACTATTGCATTAATTTTTCATTTTAAGTACAAATTATACGAAATTTATAAAATTATGAAGAGAGAAATTCAGTAAAATTTCACACTTGCCACATATGCCACAAACTCAATGCCACATTTTTTTTTTTTTGCAATTTGGCATCAAAAGCGGCATTTTATTTTGAATTTGTTAATTCCATTTAATTTTTTTTATTAATTTTTTTTTTTGCAAAGGATACGAAGCGAATAAGGATTCGTGCCCGTTTGTAGGTGGCGTTGCTTTGTATTTAATTGCTGCATCAAATGCACTACAGTTTCACCTCTGCTGGTTGCCTTCAAACTTTTGCATCTACTCGTTTACAGCAAATACAAGAGCTAAGCTTACATATTAACGCTATTGTATCTGAGCTTGCCATTTGCTTGCCTTCATATATATATGTATATATATCTGTATAAATATATATATTATTTTTTTTTTTGTATTTTTTAGTGTTTACTATTTTTATAAAAATTGTATAAATTACATTTTAAACAAAAAATTACTTCATTTTCGTAGTGCAGTACAACAATGAAGTCATAGTGTTTGGCTGGCTATGATGGCTGACCTGAATTACTTCTTTAAATTGCAACATTACTCTGAAGTAATACTTTGAAGTACGCGTTCTTTAACTCGGCGGAACGGTGAAGGGAAACAGCAAACAAATAAAAGAATGTACTTTATGTGAAAAGATTTCCTTTTCTTGCTGTTTTCTTAACTGCGCTCTACAATTTCTGAAATTACACAAAATTTTCCTTCCTTTTTTTATTTGTGTTATTTTTTTCACTTAAATTTTATTTTATTGTTAAAACTTTACATTAAATTGTGTAAAATGCACAATTCTATGAGTAGAGACGACGTTGTACCTGCACAAAGCGCATTTTCACACATTAAACACAGTACACCCATCCATGTACCATCCTTCTCCAGGTTGAAGCGCAATGGTCACATACGAGTAGGAACCGTTTTTATATGAAAAGTTTGGGACTGAAAAGTGCGACTGAAAATGTTATTTTTTCCATTTCCACCAATTTCTTTTTTGAGAACTTTTTTCGTGTGCTTACCTTTAATATATGTGATCTCTTTTTTTATATTATACAGGGTAAATTGTAGAAGAAAGTTTATTTTAAAATATTTAAACAAAATAAAACCAATGTATCTCCGACTATAGAGTTGTTATTTGAACTAGATTAAATTTATACAAATATTCTGACATCAGTTCCGTAGCCCATAAATTATTTCTGGGAGAGATTTCAGATAATTTCAGTCATTAAAAAAAATTTTTTTTCTTAATAAACACTCATAACGCATTAATAATAATTAATTATTTATATGTATATTTCGTTGATTGATTTTTTGAAATATAATTATCACTTTTCTAACAATTTCACTTTCGATTTAAGGCGAAATGTTAAATTAAATAAAAATTTACATTATAAAAATAACTCAAAAATAAATTAATTTATTTTTGTAACAATATTTGAATGCAATTAATCAATTAGTCTCATACAACAAAAAAGTAACTTACAAATACAGTCAAACCTCTCTATAGGGAACCTTCCTATAACGAATTCCTCTCTAAAACGAAATTTTAAGCAGGCATCAGCGACTTCGTTATAGAGAGGTTTGATTGTATATAAAAATAATAATTCGATTCATATCAGGAGAGTTTCAGTCCCTAAAGCCTTTCCTCTACTGTTAAACTTGAATAAAAAAACTGTAGATAATACTCAAGATATCTTGCTAGAATAACAAGATTACCTTGAAATTAACAGCTGTTTTACATGACTTGACATATAACATAAAATGTGATTTAATTCGATTTATACATTTATGAAAAATATAAATATCTACTAACACTACTAGAAAAATATTAGAATAGTCCAGATTAGTCCAGATAGTCCAGAATAGTCCAGAATAGTCTAGATTTACTCCAGAGTTACTAATCGATAACGCCATAAGTGTGTTGGATATAAAAGCGGAATTAATGTTACTCCGACGGTGGTGGTAGCCTCTGATATGGTTGTAGTCTGTGGTATTTTACAATAGGCTATTATTATAGTGGTAGTATGAGTGAGAAAGATATATTAAAACAATCCGTTTCTTTGTTTTGGTCACACAAGTGTTTAAAAGAAATTGATATGCATAAGACAATTAGAAAGGGATGAAAGTATGCAACTTGAGTGTTTAGAAATTTTCAAAATATTGGACGTCACAACGTTGTATATATTGCATGGTTGTTGTGATGTCATATATAGTCAGATTTCTTAGCAATTGGGTGCTGGTAACTTCTAATAAGTAATATAAGTAAAAAAAAAAAATAAGACTATTATTTTTTTTTAAATTCATTAATGTTAAATAAATTATAAATAATTAAATTAAACAATAAGTGGTACGTCTTTTATGACAAATCATGGTCATTTTTATTTAATATTATTTTTTGTTTTGTGTCTGTAATTTACAACACATATGGAAAACGTATATATTGATTTATGTTCAGAATTGATGAAAAATAAAACATTTTTAAAATACATTATTGCGTGATTAATGTTCTTTGCACTACATTATATTGAATCACACTATCAATATTATTAAAAATAAGAAATTATAATCTTATTGTAATATTAATATTATGACGTCACTACGTCCATTTATATTTATAGCAAAAAATATTTTAAGAATATTAACTTTTGACTTCTATTACCAACTCTATTAACTACATACTATTTTTATGGTTTTTTTGCTAAGCTTTTATTAATATATTTATTTAATTTTCAAAATAACATATTAAAATAAATAATTATGTATTTTTAAATACAAAGAAAAATATATGCAGGTCGTCTATAGATATTCGAGGTTGCGATCGAAATGAAGATTAATAATTAAATTATTAATTTCATAATTTTTAATTAAAATTCGTCATAATATATATTTATTCATAAATAAATAAGAATCACTAATACTTGTTAATTGAAAGCTTTTTGAAATCTTTTAAATAAAAAACATTTGGTCTTTTGCTTTCAATTTATATATGTGATAA